TTACAAGATATTTAGGTTATTTCCAAATTTTCCCTATTGTAATTTTCTTTTTTAGTTTAAAAGAAGTGATATTCAGAGTCAACTTATTAATGTCACAAGCTAAAAAATAATATGATTTTAAAAATTAAAATAAAATAAAAAACAATATGATTTGCTTTACCTTAAACTGTGGCTTTTCAGAAGTGGTGAGTAAAACATCACTGAATAATCTGTAAAGAACAAAACAACCAAATCTTTATGAGACAAGGCCCAGACCGGGATCTCACAGAGAGGATCCGAGCAGATGGCGGCGCCTTCAGCCCCCAGCTCTCCCCTCCACTCAGGCAGCCCACCCAGCCAGCCCACCTGCAGTGTGTACAAGAGGCACCGGAGTTCACAGCCATCAGTGTGACCCAGGACCCTCCAACCCCTGCCTCGGGAAAGTCACCAGCGCACTGGCCCCGCAGGGCACCAGATGTCGTCTCCCCATTGTAAGGCAATGTAGTATTTGGAATTTTTTTTTCTTTTTCAAATAGCAACTTGCAAAGACATTGCAAATATAAGCAGTAGATACTTTAAAAAAAAAAAAAAAGTTGTTTTCCTCTCTTTTCCAGTCTCAATAAAATTTATCCTAGAGCTCAGTAAAAGATAAATGTTCAAGTAAGTAGAAAGGAATTATTCTGATTGAAATCTAAGAGGGCTGGTGAGATGGCTCAGTGGTCTAAAGCACCTACTTAGAACAAGCTCAGCAAAGCAAAGGGACCGCGGTTCAATCCCCCAGCACCACATGCCAGCCAGCCCCGCCCCCAGGTGGGCTGAGCTGGCCACACACACACACACACACACACACACACAAATTATTAATCTAAGAGAAAAATAATTTGTCTCCAGTTGTTTCTCAGGCTCCATTTTAAAACAAATAGCAACTGGGCCAGGGAGACAGCTTAGTGGTAAAGTGCCTGCCTGGCAAGTTCAAGGTCCTGAGTTTGACTCCTGGTACAATGAACAGAACAGAACAGAACAGAACAGAACAGAACAGAACAGAACAGAACAGAATAGAACAGAATAGATAGAATAAAATAGAATAGAACAAAAGAAAAGCACTGGTATGGGCGGGGGGTACAGCTCAGTAGTAGAGCACTTGCCTCGCATGCATGAGGCCCTGGTTTGATCCCCAGCACCCCATCCCCCAAGCCAGAACAGTAGCAGTACCAGGGCCTCTGACTTGCTCTGACCCACACGGCTGCTTGGAGAGTGCCCACGCTCCTATGAGACTTTCCTTGCATACTCTTCCCTTTCTTCCTTTACCTTATAAATATAAATTTATATTTATAAATTTCAGGGGACTGACCATAGACTTTTTATTTATTTATTTATTTAACTTTTATTTTTTGCAGTAACAAGGATCAAACTGGCTTGGGACCTTGTGCTTGCGTGGTAGGCTCTTATGCCCCTGAGCCACCTCCAGGCAGTGTCCCTCCCTTTCTAAGGACAGAGCTTCCTCAGACAAGGTCACCTCTTCCCTGCAGCACTCCTCAAAGCCCCGGCCCTCCCCACCACATTTCCATTTACTTCCAGAGACATATTTTAACTGAGCATAGGTCATACTTCTCCCGTTGTGATTCTCCAGGCTGAAGCCCAAGGGATGGAAAGACTTAGGTGAAGCAAAAACTTTGGATTAAAGTAGGAGAATGCAGCTGGGTTGTGGCAGCACACACCTACAATCCCAGCACTCAGGAGGCTGAAGCAGGGAGATCACTGGGAGTTTGACACCAGCCCGGATTACAAAGTGAGCTCAAGGCCAGCCTGAACTGCATAGTGAGACCCTGTCTCAAAAAGACCAAAAACAAAAACAAATTTTTTTTTTTTAGAAATAGATGAAGATAATGGGAGAACTGAAAGAATGGTAGATACATGTGAGTTCCAGGTCAGCTTGGGCAACTCAGCAAGACCCTCTTTCAAAATTAAAAAGGGCTGGGGCCGGGAAGATGGCTCAGTGGAATAAGTGCCTCCCTGGCAAGCGCAAGGGCCTAAGTGCAATTCCCAGTTCCCGCCAACAACAACAAAAAAATTAAAAAGGGAGGGGCCGTGAGATAGCTCCGTGGTCTAAAGCACCCGCTTTGGCAAGCTCAGGCAGGGCAGAGGACTGCAGTCCAGGATCCCGGCACCACATGTCGCACCAGCCCCGCCCTCAGGGCAGGCTGAGCTGGCCAAATTAAAAAAAAAAAAAAAAAATTAAAAAGGGAACCAAACTAAACCAAAGCATTATAAAAGAAAACAACTTGTAGAAAGAATGAATAAGGAACCTAAGTCACCGCCTGCCTCCCCTGAGCTCTGGCTGCGCCAAGCCTTCCCTCGCCTTGCCTGCTGTCACTGCTTCCAGTGTACCTCTGCTAGATAACGAGCTACAAAGACAAGAGCAGCAGGCTCAGGACCTGTTCACTGTCTGACTTTAAGGGAGGGTGCCCCTGAGTGCGGAGCTGCAGCACAGTGCCCGGTCCAAGCAAGGTGTGTAATGAATTATGCCCAGTAAGGAAGCGACCAACAGAAGCACAGCAGCCCGGGAACAGCTGCCTCCTCGGGAGGGCAGAGCTTGGAGGCTCTGTGACGGGTGAACTGTCCACAGCTGCCACCAGCTGGCACGCCATGGCCTCAGGAAGGGGAGGCGCTGGAGCTCTGTGATGGCACTGCCTAAGTAGGGGCGCCACGCGTACGCACACAACGCTAATGCTGACGGAGAAGAGACACATGAGAAAAGGATGCTGGTGTTCAAGGAGAGCGATCAGCCTGGAGCAGGGAGGGCATGGGACACCAGGGTATGTGCTGCAAGCGACCACCTGGAGGCAGGTCACTTCCATGCCGCAGGGACTGTGACTGAGTGCCGGGCCCCTGAGCACAGTGGCCCCGTGTTCAGCAAGCTTACTGACATCACAACCGAAGCAGACGATCGACTTACGGCATCTGTAAGAGCCGGGAGACGGTGGGCATGCCATGTTTACAGGCGTCACTAGACAGCGTGGACTCCAACACGGCCACTTGAAATGAACAGATACACAGTTTAGTTCCACAGAACATTGCTGGCAAATCCACCGGGCCATGAAAAGTCTGACACAGCTTTGCAACAGCTGTCTCAGGCTGCTCAGAACAGTGTCAAAACTCTTCACACACAGACAGATGGCGTGGGGAGGAGGGGAACATCGGCGACTCCGGAGCCACCGATGACTAAACCAGAAGCCACGTGCGGACAGAAAGCAAGCGTATTTCCAAGTTAAATGGAAGAACTCAAGACATCATTCATAAGTGTTCCCTGAAGAGCAAAGTGAACACTACACAGAAGCAAAATTCTGAGTTTGAAAGACGTTTTGTTGCTTGCCTGCTTTTAATCAAAACCACTACCTGAAAAAAAACCAAAAAAAACACCAATACCTGAGAGGTTGGTTGCTGACACGGCACCATCCAACACTGTGGATGCAACCAGACCCTCCTACACACGTATGGTCCAGCTTCAGGCGCTCAGACCCAGACAGGACGCTCAGGGCCGTGCTCTTGCACTGAGGAGTGCTGGCTCCCACAGTGGTCCGAGAGCTCACCTGCCCTCTTTCTCTGCCTGGGCCCTGAGCTCTGAGCCGGCTGCAGGGAGAACGGAGGAGCCCTGCGAGCCTGCACCAGTGCCCTGGCCTCAGCGGCCCCAGAAGACTCCCAGATCCACTGCGCTCAGGGCTGAGCTGGCCGGCCTGCAGGGCCCTCGTCCACCAGGCTCCCAGCTTGTGGCTCCTGGGCTGCTTTTTAGGCTCGGGCCAGCTGTGGTTGGACTCTGGGCACTTGTCTGGGTCCTCGACACTGGCCTCGAGGTACTCAGCTGGGCTTCTGTATCTGATTAAGATTCTACATCCACTTGTTTCCAAAATTCTAACATATTTTACAGAAAGTTTCTGAAGGGCCCCATTTGAGAGACAAACAAGCTATCTGCAGTGTTTGCGCAGGCTGTGGAGGATGGCAGCTTTCTCGGGGCCTTCCCTGGACTCCAGAAGGCACGTGAGCAGCTCTGCAGGCGCCCAGCCCCCAGCCCTGCCCCAAGCCCATACTGACCCACAGCCATGGACGGCGCAGGAGGAAAGGAGTCCACGGGCACTGAGTCAGGCGGCCGTCCGTAAGTCATTTCATACAGCAAGTGCCCAAAGCAGTGCACATCCACGCTTTCCAACGTCTGTGAGGGAAAGAGAGCGTTCACCGTGCCGCTTGGCCCGGAGGCTCCTGTGCTTCTGCCCCAGGCTGCCACGAAGACACACGGCCCGGGGACAGTCCCACTCCAAAGTGAAGCTCAAGTCCTTTTGTAAAAGCTCAGGAGGCCGCCCGGCACAGTGGAGTATGCCCGTAATCCCAACACCGGGGAGGCCGAGGCAGGGGACTCACTGTGAGTTTGAGGCCAGCCTGAGCCACACAGCAAGACACTGTCTCAAACAACCAAAGCAAAACAAAACAGCCCACCAGACGTCCTGCTACCCAAAAGGCGTGGCCTGCCCTCTATGGTTCTCTAGTTAGTCACTCTATCCCTTCCTCGCCCCTCTGCCATTTCAGCTTAGTTGTGGGATAGCCCTAAGATGACCCCACTGCTTGACTAACTTACATTGATCTTCCTGAACTGCGTGAAGAAGGGGCGGTAGAAGGAGGGCAGGCCCAGCAAGGAGTTCTCGAGGTCCAGCAACCGGCAGGTGTCCCCGTCAAGCAACACGTTGGAGGCATGAAGATGCCCGTAAGGAAATCCCTTGTCGTGCAGAAACTTCAGCACCTACCAACGAGCATACGCACATTACATTCCCCCCAACTACGCGGATACATGATGGAATCGCTGGGCCTTGGACTCAACCCTTAGCACCAAAAGCAAAGCAAAACAAGTGCTAAGAACATTTTTTTTCTTTAACTCAGTGTTTTGAAACAAAATGAAACAGGTCACGGGGAGACTGCTAAAGAAAAATGCCACCTCCACCCTTGGGAAAGGGAGTGAAGCTGAATGCTTTCCAGCACCAAGCTCCTGGGAATGGAGAGGCAGCCGGAGAGAGCGGCTTATGCTTGAAGTGCCTTCTGATCCCAGCTCAAGTCTCACCCTGGCCCAAATTTTTTAATTAATAGAAGCACTGCAGAGCTAGGTGTGGTGGTGCATACCCATAATCCCAGCACTCGGGAGGCTGAAGCAGGAGGATTGTTGCAAGTTCGAGACCAGCCTGGGTTACAAAGTGAGCTCAAGGCAATCTTGAACTGCATGGCAAGACCTTGTCTCAAAGAGACAAAAAAAGAAAAGAAAGAAAGAAAGAAAGATGCAGCAGGCTTCCACAAGAAGAATCACTTTTCAGCTGCCACTGAGGCACACAGTGACTCCCAGGAAAAGAGGGGCTCCACGCCCCCCCCACAAAGACCTGGAGAAACCGGCAAAGGAGGTTCACAGGGCAGTGCACTGAGGACCGAAGCAAAGAACACAGCTGCTCCTTGTAGTTTTAAAAATCTTTTGTCGGGGCTGGAGAGATGGCTCAGTGGTCTAAAGCACCTACTTGGAACAAGCTTGGCAAAGCACAGGGACCACGGTTCGATCCCCCAGCACCACATGCCAGCCAGCCCCGCCCACAGGTGGGCTGAACTGGCCACACAATAAATAAAATGTAAAAATAAATAAATAAAAATTTAAAAAAATAAATAAAAAAAAATAAAGGATTCTTCTTAAAAATCTTTTGTCTTAGGTTCAAAAATGTACTAGAAGTAGCGTACGGATAGAATTTATGGTTCAATATGTGCCACATGGGGGAGTGGGGTGCTTAAGTATTTTTATTGCGAAATCCAAGAGGCCTGGAGAACATGATCTAGAGTGACATGGAAAACGTCCTTTCTTCCTCTCTCTCTCTCTCTCTCTCTCTCTCTCTCTCTCTCTCTCTCTGTTCCTCTCTTGCAGTGCTAAGGATCACAGCCAAGGCCTTATGTATTCGGCACACTAGCACTGAGCTTTGTATCCATCCCTAACAGGAGAAGGTATCGCTCTGTTCACACTTCTGCAATGCAGATACAGGTGTACATATATGACATGCAATAAAAAACCTTGGCACAGAGATGCCGATCAGCCTGAGACACCGTGAAAGGTCTCCACTCAGAAAAATACTTAAAGCTCAGACACAAAATTGCAACAGCTAAAGCTTTTGGAATTTAAGTTACTGTCACCTTCATTTCAAATATTTGCTTTTTGGGGTAGAGTATGTTTACTATTATCAGCTTACAAATAACCAGACAATGTCAGGGATTTTGGCTATTTCTTTTTTGGCGGAATCGGGGATTGAATTCAGATCCATGCGCTTGCCAGGAAAGTGCTTATTCTACTGAGATATCTCCCCGCCCCAGATTTTGGCTATTTCCTGAGAACTTTTCCATAAGAATAACAGACTTTGAATGAGACTGCAGCGCAACTTAAACAGAAGTTAGGTACCTCTCACCTCTAATATCTGCCGCCCATATGTTTTTATTTGCTGGAGTTCAAGGCCCTGAATCTTCTTCGGGTTGCAGTACTTCTTCAGAAATGGGTCCTTAGGTTTTGCCTGTAAAGAAGAATGAAGAACAGGTGAGGAAGCAGCCAAGGACCTACTAAGCAGAGAGGACCAGCCGTGGGATGTGATGTAGGGTACAAAACTGAGCAGTCTGTGTAGCTGACAGAGGCTGACCCGGGCTTGGGCCCATCTGTGTTCCAGGGATGTGCCCATCTTGCCTTATAGCCCCCAAAGTCTTGCACACTGTTAGAGCGCTTCAACAAGTGCAAGACACAAACTTTACAACTGACCTGAGCGAGCAGCCTACAGCCCCAGAGGGCTCATCTGCCCCTCGGGTGTGGGGAGGAATGCTATTTAACCAAACTGGGTAAAATCTTTCCAACTAAAATCAACATTAAAATACAACCCTTAGGGTCTTGTTTGTGGAACCTTAGGGAGTTCGAAAGGGACGTGAGAACTTACTGACCACGAATGGCCTGGCCGAGAGTACCTTGTAGATCAGATCCTTCAAAGTTCCCTTCTCACTAAACATCCTGATCAGCAGAGCAGAGGACTCGCTGGCGGTGGCAAAAGTGACCCGGTACACGTAAGGGTGCTGCCAAGACAAAAAGGAGATCTGCACTGATCTGCCTAGGGCCTAGGTCCCTGTGGGGCCGGAATCTGCTCGTGCAGAGTCACGCATCATCTGCTGGTTGTGTGGCACGCAAACATGACATTCCCTGAAGAGATGGTACTTCCAAGTTGCGAGATGATCAGCTAGGCCCTCCTTCGGAGGACACAAACTCCAGTGACAAAGGAAGCCGACAGCTTGCCCTGCTGGAGGACCCCCCAACAGCGTGCGCCCCCACCCCCCACCCCTGTGCATTCCCCCTGCGGGATCCGCCTCAGCCCACGCTTTTTTTTTAATTTTTTTTAGAACCAAAAAAAAATAAAATAAAATTGAACTCAGGGCCTTGCACTTGCCAAGCAAGCACTTATTCTACTGAGCCATCTCCCCGGCCCCCCACGCTCTCTTATGGTTCAGGTTAAAGCAGGGTGGAGGAGGAGAAAAGTTTGAGTTTTGGAAGTAGTGGGTTTTTGTTTTTGTTTTTGGCGGAACCGGGGATTGACCTCAGGCCCTTGCGCTTGCCGGGGAAGTGCTTATTCCACTGAGCCATCTCCCCAGCACCTGTTTTTGTTTTTTTTTTTAGACAGAATCTCACTATGTAGTTCAGGGTGGCATTGGGAGTTGAGTTCACTATGTAGCTCAGACTGGCCTCAAATTTCTGGATCCTCCCACCTCAGACTCCTGTGAGTGCTGGGATCATAGGCAGGCGTGTGCCACTGTGCCTGGCCGGGGGCCGTGGCCTTGATACTCTGCGTCTACACACTGACACAGCATGCAGCCACAGCCAAGCACAAGTAGGGGTGCAGATGGAAACAGCTGCTCACAGCCGTGCCTGCGATTCCACGCTGCTGTTGGATGCCTGGTCAGCCAGGAAACAAACAAAAGCAGCATCTTTGGGCTTCTTGGCCCATTTGGAAAGCAGCCTGCATGACTCCTCCTGCCCTTCTACAATGTCTGCAGTATGACAAATTATAATGTCCTCAGACGGGGACAGGGCAAGTAAGGAGGGGGAAGACAAATTACCTAATGCACAAAAAAAGGAAAGTCCTCATCCTACCTGGAAGGGGCTGGCTTCAGGCACTGTGCCCGCTGGGCTCTATGGAGTATCACGCAATCTAGACCCATGGGAGCTCAGAAGACAGGGCTTCTGGACCCAAAGGGGACTGGAGAGGGTGGAATGTTGTGTGTGTCCCCAAGAAAGTGTGACAAATTAGCATAAAGTTTCCCCTGATCTTCATATCAGAATTGATGCTGACTTTTAACAGCTTCATTATAACTTAGCTAGTTAAAGTTCTCCAACCGAATAGCTTCGGTGTATCCAGTTATATGACATGGGACTCTATTACAGGACATTTCCATCACTCCAAACAGAAATTAAAGGAGTGGAATAAGAAAACCCCAGCCCACGCTGACATGAATGAAGGGCTTCAGGGTGCAGTCCAGTGGCCCAGCACTTGGCAGCAGGCATGAGGCCCCCAGGATGCCAGCAGCCTCTCAAAAGAGGAGGAGCAGAGGAAGGACGAGGGGAAGGTCCTCCCCATGATGACAGCTTGCACAGGGGATGTGACGGAGGACGTGCACACAGTCTCACCCGCCCCACATACTTCTTACTAATTCTAGGTGCTTATCTTCGGACAACAAGGCTGGGTACAAATGGTTGGCTAAAACTGGTTACTTTGCTTTTTTCCTTCTGGTTGTGGAGGTTGAAACCAGGACCTCTGCACTGAGCTATGCCCCCGGCCCTTTTACATTTTGTTTTGGGACAAGGTCTTGCAGCGTTGCCCAGGCTGCCTCCGATTCGCAACCCTCCTGCCTCAGTCCTCCAGACCGCTGGAACCACACGCGTGTGCACTGTGCTCACCACATTTTTCTTTTATGTAACAGCAAAAAGTGACATGCAAGTGTCTCGTAAACCAGGTGAGTAAGGTGTCGCCAACTCTACGTAGTCGGTTAATAATGATGTCGTACTGCATTTACTGTGAACTAAAGACCAAGGTACAGGGCTCGTGTGGGAGCTTGGCGGTCTACGGCGCTGCCCAGGCAAGCTCAGGGACGCGCAGGGCACAGGGACCGTGGTTCAATCTGGTGCCAGTGGCAGCTCTGCCCCAAGGGCAGGCTGAGCAGCCCCCCACCAAAAAAAAAAAAGATTCTACGGTGCACCATTAATGAAAAAAATACTGGGCTTTAAAATTATAAATATAGGGCAGGGGATATAGCTCAGCGGCACATCATAAGCACCTGCCTGGCAAGTGCAAGGTCTTGAGTTCGATCCCCAGTACTGGAAGAAAAGGCCATGGCTGTGTCCCTGTAAAATTATAAATATACATTTTCAAAAAAAAATCATACAAAAATTCTGAGAGTAACACTCTGGTTCCTGCTTCTTGTTGCTTGGGATGTAATCCCAGAGGAGTTTTATTTTCTATTTTTATTCCTCTGTGCCATCAGACTTTCACAATTAATGTACTCTTGTATGAACCATGTTTTGTAAGAAGCAGATGTTTATGAAAGGAAGTGTAAGACACTGGGGCATAATTCAGAGGTAGAGTACTTGCCTAGCACGGGCAAGGGCCTAGGTTCAATCTCCAGCACCACAAAAAAAAGAGAAGGGAAAGGAAAGAGGAAGGGAGGGAAGAAAGAAGGAAAGAGGAAAGAAGGGAAAGGAAAGAGGAAGGGAGGGAAACAGGGGAAGGAAGGGAAAAGGAAGAGTTTAAAAGTTTGGGCTGGGCCAGGGAGATAGCTCAGTGGCTTAACAGCCTGCCTGCCAAGTGCAAGGTCTGAGTTTGATCCCCAGTAAGTAAGTAAGTAAGTAAGTAAGTAAGTAAGTAAGTAAGTAAGTAAATAAATAAGTTGGTGCTGACAGCTTGTATCATACAACCAAACTCACGAAGACTACATTTATCTTGGCCATCCATCGGACTCATTGAAAGCTTGATTTCTCTAGCTTGACAAAACATTCTTTGTTTTCTTTAATTAGCTGTCTGAAACTAATGTCAGGCTTTCTCACTATGTCAGGCTGACCTTGAAGTCACTATGCAGCCCAGGCTAGCCTCCAACTTGACAGTGATCCTCCTGCCTCAGCTTCCCAAGTGCTGGGGTCACAGGCGTGCGTCCTGCTATCATGATACCTGACCTACGGTGGTACCATGCAATTTTACCCTGCCCTGAGCCCCTTGGTAGCTGCCCATTCTCTCGAGCTTATTGAGTATTTCTAGCCCTTCTACCCCATTCACCCTCAAGAAAACCCTGTAAGGCTGTGATCCACGCTGAAAATAATAGTAGGACTCATACTTACCAAACAGGAAGGCAGAAGTTTGATTAGACACTGGAAATCTTTATCTGACAAGTATTTGTCGGGACCAAGGTCAGCCTGGAAACATGAGAAGAAGGAAGTATTAGGGCACTACCTTGGTCACCCGAAGATAAATCCCATGTGAACCGGTCCCTCTGACTAAGTGCCTGCTTAGGGAAGCACAAGGACTGGGGATCAATCCCCAGCACCGGATGCGGCACCAGCCCTGCCCCCAGGCCTGCCAAGCCAGGCACCAAGACTGGGAACAGGCGTGGCAGTGCACACCTGTAATCCAGGGATGGGGAGGCTGAAATCAGGAGGATCACTACATGTCCGAGCTGCATAGTGAGACCCCATACCAAATACATTTTTTAAAAAAAACCTGTCATATAAAGAGATTGCAGAAAAACTATTTTAAAGTGTTTCTATTTCTTTCTAAATGTTTACCAGCAAACTATATCTCTATAACCAAATAAATAGCAAAGCAATTTAAAATGACTATCCTTTGATGCGGGGCTGAGGAAACCCTGACATTATCACTGAGGCTTGCAGTACTTCTGTAATCCTCTTGTCAGATATCTACGTTTCCTGAAATAAGACGGAAGCCAAGAATTAGCTTACCCAGCTTAATACCAGCCGTTCCTTTGGCTGATTTTTAATCTTCATCAAGAAGTATTTTTTCCTAATCCTCCAGCCTGCCACAAAAGCAAAAATAAGCTTATAGCTCTACAGTTTTGACAACAAATGATTTCAGTTTCACTAATAGTCAAAATGAAGCTTAGCCATGTTACCCCCGGCCATGCAAGCTCTCGCAAGACATGGTAAAGGCTATCCCCAAAACAACAAAGAAATTACTCTCTTCTTGGAAACAGCAGGAAAAGAGTTCTTCAGTCAAGATTCAGTGAATAGGACAGATAGTAAGTGGTGACTCTCAAAGTTACTGCCCTCCAAGTCCCTCTGAAGGGGCTTTAACCAACGCACAGCCTTAAAATGTCTGTATCCTCAAGCAGTAGGGAGGCAAAAAGGACACACGTCACCAGGGCACTTGCGCTTTCTTGGGACAGGAATCCCAGCCTGCACTAGGAAGCCCGTCCTGGGCTCCGTCCTTTTCACAGAACGGTCAGCCGCTCGCTCACCTATGTCCTTCAGCGGTTCTACCACCTCCCACTTCGGTTCTGACCGGAAGAACATGGAGACCTGTTGTAAGGCAATTTCTGCAAAGACATTTTAGAAACTCATTAGTCAAACGTATTATGAAAGAGTTATACACTTCAGATTTATTCACAATTAAAATCCTTATAGTCAATGACCTCCTTGAAATATTTAATTACAAAACATACTAAGATGAAAACTAAAAACAATGTGGAATTGTAGACTGGACCTTGGAAGAGATAAGCATCTGAGCGGAAGAACTGATGGAATCTGAGTATTAGATTTACCAATGTTAATTTACCAACTCCTGTATTAGATTTACCAAAGTTAATTTCCTAGTTTTGATAAAACAGTGCGGTCCCCTAATAGGCAGCTAAATCAGGCAGATATTAACATACAGTCAGAGAGGGACGGTCCTCAAGGACCTCAACACCAAAACATGGACATCAGAATTGTGGCTGGAGGCACATCTGGAGAGCCAGGAGATAACAGCAGCATGAGCCTGCGCTGTACCCGGCCCGCGCGGCGCAGGCGGCCCAGGCAGACACCCCCGCAGAGGTGGCGGACAGAGCGTCTGGGTCCGCGCTCCTCGCCTTTTCCACAACTTCCTTTGGTGTTCCAGGCACCTGGCTGCGTGATTCACTTCCCTACTGGGCCTTGTGTGCGCCTATAGATTAACTGCAGTCTGACCCACACCACACCACGTTGTGATGCTGCTCTGTAAATGACTCTTGCCATCACCCAGGACACCTCCTCACAATCCAGGCGCGACGCTCTTCCTCCTGATTTCCAATGAGACTCTTCTTTCCTAACATCCTTTGTTTATGAGTTCATTTCTCAAAAGAGTAAGACCACCTGCTCTGTATGTTTAACACCTAACGGGGTGGGAGTCATATTTTTCCTACATCAGGAAGGAAAAGATGTTAACATTGGTGAAACTTGGTGGGAGGGGACACGTGGAACACCCCCTACTCTGCCACTGCAATTGCTTTGTAAAATTATTCAAAAATTAAATTTAAAAAGCAAAAAATCCAATTTTTTCCCCCCGAATTCAGGCCTTTGCGCTTGCCAGAGAAGCACTTATTCCACTGAGCCATCTCCCCGGCCCCAAAAATTATTTATTTATTTATTTATGGGGGGGGGGCAGCTCAGCCTACCAGGGGGCGGGGCTTGCTGGCATGTGGTGCTGGGGGATTGAACCGCGGTCCCTGTGCTTTGCTAAGCTTGTTCTAAGTAGGTGCTTTAGACCACTGAGCCATCTCACCAGCCCAAAAAATACAATTATTAATGACATGGTAATACATAGTTTTTAACATGGGAAAAATCTAGAATATGTATAGTAGCTGGCCTAAGACAAGAATTCAATAGAAGCACCAGACCACAATCCAAGCCCAAGACTCAATGTATGTTCTAAAGTCAGACTGGAACAGCATTTAACATTCTAAGGGATATTCATCTCATCTTCATTTCTTGGGAAATTATAGCTTTCACCAACAAAGAACTCATTAGCCTTAAACATACGCTGGAAATAAAGCCAGTGTTTTAGAAAAACATGGGTGTTCAGCAACACCGGCTCCACTGCGGGAAGTCACGGAGTCTGCTTACTGGAAAGAATCTCCGTGCTTCCTTTCAGGGTTCATCTGTCATGCAATGCTTCCCCTCTGCAGCCGGCAATGAGAAGCGGAAGTTCTTTAAAGTACACCCTATTAAGATGCTCATAACCGCGTGTTCACACTTCCTGAGAAAAACACACCCTCAAGCTGCCACTTCCTTTCCGAGGCAGGCAGGGAGTAAACGAAGCCACTCGGATCCCTGAAAGCAGCAGCAACATTCCCAGTGCACTGCGGGACTTCACCTCCGCCCAGTGTGGACCAGACGGGTCCTGAGTGTCACCAGAAGCGTTCTCCCTAAGGCAAAGGCCTCCTCTGGAATTAGTATGCTGACACCTCAGCAAACTATCATTTTGGTAACTTTATAGCTCCTTCTGCAGTGAAGGGATTTGAGGGAGAAAACAATGTATCAGCCATTTGTTTACTGACTTGGGAAGTTACTTCCCAGTGGCATCTGCTCGGAAGGACACCAGTGATGACAAAATGCAAGTTCGGCTCCAGGTGCACTTACACTGGTAGCCTAGGATGCAGCGAGCCATGTGGGAGGACCGGCGGTTGCCAAAGCACATCTCTGCGGGCTCTGCACCTCCTTGATAATGTTAATATAAAGAGTTCTTAGAATTTCCAAAATAATTTGAAAGCAAAATTTAATTATTTTAAGTGAAAATTATTCATGTCAACTTTGAGAAGACAATGTGAGAAGTACTCATCCAATGCAGTGCAACACCATTTCAAGAGACTGTAAGACAACTGTTTAAAACTAACAGTAAGCCGGCCGTGATGGCGCGTGCCTGTAATCCCAGCACTGGGGAGGCTGAGGCAGGTGGATCACGGTGAGTTCGAGATCAGCCTGGACTAAAACGTGAGCTCAGGGCCAGCCTGAACTGCATTGTGAGACCCTGTCTCAAAACAAAACAAACAAAAAAAAAGCAATTATTTACTTTATGTCACTGTGTATCACATACTTTTAAAAATGGGTGAATACGTCTACACATGGAACATGATAAATTTTTACTAATACACTGAAGACTATAAATACATTCCTTCTTTTTAACATTAGAAATTAGAGAATTGGAAAAAAGGACATTTTCTTTTCACTGATCTGTGACTTACTGTCAAATGGCTCCATGTTCCCAATGATTTTTTTTTTTTTTTTTTTTTTTTTGTACTAGGAATTGAACTCAGGAACTCACGCCTGCCAAGGAGACCCGTGCCACTGCGCTACAGCCCCAGCTCCATCTTCCCCAGCCCCATGTTCCTCCTCTGACTTGGCAACCCATTTCAATCCTCTCTGCTCAGAGGCCTTCCCCAACTCTCTACTTCCTCACCGAATCAGCACCAACCTGCTAGGCCCAGTGCCCGGCCCACCTCTGGCCTAAGCTGTCTTTTTGGCCTTGCCTCCCTGCGGGCACTGCCACACTACACACTGAGGTTTGCCTCCACGTCACTTGTGTTCTCCCTTGGCCCACCTCACCTTCCTAGCTCTGTCTGCCCTCCTGCTCCCCCGCCAGGACGCCTTCTCTTATGAGCCACCCCATCCCTGCAGTGGCCCTCTCTTCCACAAGACGGTCTGCTTGGGGGGCCTTCCAAGGAGCCGAGCCGCTTGGGGAGGCCTCTCCTCCCTTAGGCCAGCTTCCACTCACCAGCAGCCTTCATGGCCTTCACCTCTGCCGCCCTTCCTAGGTATGGACTCTGCACCTCCCAAGGCTCTCCCCCTCCCCATGGCAAGGTGCTGCCCGAGCTTACGACCACAGGCTTCATGGCTGCCCCCTTGTGCCCATGCCCTGGGTGGCAGGATTGTGGAGGAGAGGCTGCTCTTTCCCCTGCAGCGCCTGGCATACAGTAAGTACTTAGAAAGTACTTCATAAAGAACTAAAGTTTCAAAGCATGGCAAATGGATGTGGAGCCCCTCATTAGAGCAGGAAAACAAAAAGGAATCCCCGTGCCATTTCTTCATCACCAACGGACACATGCAGAGTGCTGATAAACTGGCTCAAGGTGGGAAAGCCAGCTCATCCTCCCCACAGGCAGGCAGGAAGGATCCACGCAGACCAGACTCTCCCAGCCCTCAACCCGCCTGCCAGCAGGAATGCGCCCTCAGCAGGAACACAGCTCGGCCGGAGCTGTCATCCGCAGATGTAGATGAGAGGGTGAGAGATAAGGCAGAACAAGGAATTTTGCAGGTCCTGGGACATCTGAGGAATGTGGAGACATCTGAAAATTTACACTGATGCTTCAAGGACCCTCTGCTCACTAAGGTCCAAGATGGCCAGAGAACTCTGACCCCACAGAGGGTTTTTCCACCTTCTGTCCACATGCACCCTAAGTTCCACACCATGTTGCCTCCACACAAGCCTGGTGGTCTCTGCCTGTCACCCTCTTGGTCACACCGAGGCTCAGGTGTTCCAGGTGCTCCCATAGGGCTGTCTTTCAATTCCTGGATCCCACCCCTCTAACCCACCCTGCTTGTTTGGAATACGATCACCTCCTCTAGCCCCTCCCTCCCTTTATTGCACTACTGTCAGGTTTCTGGGTTTCAGGGCTAGAAGAGAACTTCAACATGCCCTGCTCCTTTTGTCCCTGCCCAGCCTCCAGCTTTGCACCATCCTGGGGACCGCTGAGGAAAACGCTGCTGTTGACAAAGCTGCAAACAGGATTTCTGGTTCAAATGGCTTTTGTGGAGATATTAAAAGTCCCTTACTCTGGGGGGACATGGAAGCTTGAAAAGGGAAGATGGCTGCAGGGCACTGAGGCTTTGAAATGACAGAAGCAGGTTGTTAGTAAGACGAAGATGGTGCTCTGGGTGTTTCTCATTACGCTCCTCACGACGGTGAGACACCAGCCTTCCCTGTGCAGTGCAGCCCTCCATCCGATTTTCTAGTTAAACAAGAACCTGACAACTCCCCACCGAGGACCACGGGCCTACATTTACCTTTGGGGATTTGGTCATTTAGAAAAAAACCAGGAAAACAATAAAGACCCAATGATTCCAAGCTGGGTCCCTGGTAGACACAAGGCAGATGCTGGTGTCCCAGGAACTCCCAGCGACCCATGCCCTGGGGACCAGGTGTAGGCACAGTCCTCTCTAACAGGAAGCCCAGCCCAGTCAGTGCAAGGAGCAGGAAAAGTGGCTGTGGAGCTTGGCCACCATGTGAACTCAAATCCCACCAAAAGCAGGCTGGGTGGCAGCCACAGGCCACCAGGAAACCGAGGAGGAGACACTATCCACATTCCAAGGGACAGGTGCCCCGGGAAGCAGGGGCGCTGCTGCGTACTTCAGGAAGGGCTCCGTGAGGCTGGCACAGGCGGGCTGGCCTGACCACAGCCGCTGAGTCAGCTAAGAGGAAAGGCATGTTCTAATCTTTCACTTACAGGGGGAATTAAACCAGCTTCTTTCTGAAAATAGCGCTCTTCACCCACGTTTCATTTAGGACTCTGCCCTCTGCACAGAAGCTGGGTTCTTGCCGCTGGGATTCTGGTAGAAGTTCCTGGTGGCCGCCTTATTATGCTGCCCACATTAACTCTGGACTCTTGATCATCCGCCACACTAGGGACGAGGATCATGGCCACTGGGGAGGGGGGGCTGGAGGGGGCACAGTGGCATGGGGAGCAGGGACCAGACAACCTTCCACAGCCAAATAGCATTTGAACTTAAAAAGAATCTCGGGGGCCAGGGAGATGGCTCACTACAATAAGCACTTGCCTGGCAAGAGCAAGGACCTGAGTTCAATCTCTGGTTCAGCCAAAAAAAAAAAAAAAGAATCTCAGACCAAACAACAAATCACACAAATACAAAAGGCTCAGGAAGGCCCCTCCCTCTGGGGTCCTCCTTATCTCTAAAAGCACAAGAAGGCTAGGTATGGTGGTACATGCTTATAAACCCAGCACTCAGGAGGCTCAGGCAGGAAGACTGTCACAGGTTCAAGGCCACCTTGGGCATAGCCAAGGCCAGCCTGAGCTACACAGCCACTCTCTCAAAAAGACCACACACACACATGCACGCACGCACACGCGCGCGCACGCACGCACACACAAGGGAGGTAGTCTTGATAAAACAGCCCTGAGGTCTCCTCTAGCACTGATGTACCTGGCACGAGCTCCACGACAGCAGCGCATGCATCTGCACCCCAACTCTCAGCGCCGCCGCTGGCACATGGTTGCCATCTGCCAAGCGAACGGCATGGCCACTCCAGCAAGGCCCTCTGCTACCCGCCTTCAGAGCCCGAGCAGGCTCTCGGGAAAGAATGCAGATGTCAGGACGACTTGCTGGCAATTTTGGGAACACACCAGCTAAAGCATGGAGAAATGGGAGCCAGGACAGATCCCACTCTATCTGGAGCTGACCGGAAAGCCCTACTCCTAAGTGTCACCACTCTTCTCTGTGGGAACCAAAGAACGAGTGGGGAAGAATGGGGTCCTCATAGCTGTGTGGCGCTTGAGCTTACGATTCACAGTAAACAAGGATTGAAGGACGCTTTCCTTCTGATGGCCACATCTGGAAAGGGACTTTTCTTAGCCCCACACAGCACCTACCCTGCAGGCGGCAAATACAGAGGCAGCTTTTCCCTTCAATAAGCATGCAATTTGCTCGGGGACCTGCTAAAATCAGGTCCGGACACGGCAGGTCTCGGGTGGAGCCAGAACTCTGCACTCAACAGGCTCGCGTGATGCCGCTGTAAGCAGTAAGCCTCACAAACTCAGAGGCAGTGGAGGCATTCGCGGAGCTCTGCACATCAAGGCCCACCTGCAGATGCGCTGACGTGGCTGCAGCCCGGGCGCCAGGATCTTTTTAAAGCCTCCCGGGTGACTGTACTATGCAGAAAAGTCTAATGTCTAAATACGTAGGTCTCTATTCCTCCATCTCTGAAACAAATAAAAAAATGCCTCCCTCTGATTACAACAAAAAGTGTGTATATTGTTGGTTTTCTAGGATGCCAGGGATCAAACCCCAGGCCTTGCACAGGCCAAGCCTGTGCTCTGCCACTGAGCTACGTCCCCAGCCCCAAAGAAATGCTCTGAAAACCCAGGTATCTGATCAAATCTCTTCTCCCAGGTACCTGATAATCTCTTCCCTTGAGCGTAGGCCTAGCATCAGCAGGCGGAGATAGGTTCTTGGGCCTGATCTCAAGCATAAAACGAAAAGCTCTTCACTCAGCACGGAAATGAACGATGCCCAAGTCCACCAAACACGGTTTGTGTTAGCCAATCACTTGAATCCTATTCACTGGTTCAGACCTACAGCGGCTTCGGCTGATCTTTTCCAGGCAATACCAGTGTATTAAACACACTGTTCTCCTGCTACAGCAACCACTGAAGAGCAGCAGCCGTGGCTCTGCGCTACCCCCTGGATGTAGGCTTCACGGACGTGAGCACACCGAAGCTCAGCCACCCCGCCGCCATGGACACCTCACCTCGAGCACACCGAGTTCAAGTGATACATGATCTGGGAGGCTTGTGGCTTTGCTCCAAGGAGCTGCTCAAGGTCTCCAAGGACAACGGGGCCCTCAAGTTCATCGAGAAAAGGGTGGGCAGGCAGGGAGATAGCTCAGTAGAATAAGCACTTGCCTGGCAAGTTCAAGGGCCTGAGTTCAATCCCTGGCTCCGGATCAGAGAGAGAGAGAGAGAGAGAGAGAGAGAGAGAGAGAGAGAGAGAGAGAGAGGTGGGAACGTACATCTGCACCAAGAAGAAGCGTGAGGAGCTGAACAACATGGCCACCGTGAGAAAGGCTGCCATGAGGAAGGCCGCTGCCAAGGACTGAGTCCTGCTGAGTGGAATAAACGTCTGCAGAGTTTAAATAAATAAACACACAGTTCTTTGTCCTGCTGACATCAGGCTAGCATGCTGATGCTGATGTACATGGTCAGTATTGGAAGCAAAGTCCTTTCTACCTGAGACCTCTGGGGGCTCCTGGGAAAGCAAAAGATGTGGCTGAGAGCTGGTCTCTGCTTTGCACTGCAAGGTCCCTAGGGAAGGTGGCAGAAGGGGCCACCCAGAAGCAAATCCCTGTAAAAATGAGACACACTGTATACTGTAAATACAAAAAAACAGTCAAGTTGAGATGACTATATACATAGGACTGTGGAGTATCCACCCTCCATTCTGTCAGAAAAAGATAAAGACAAGACTGTATGTAAATGTAATAACTTCTTTCATATTTTTCTGTGGATATATTACAAAGTTTTGGGAAAAAGCATGTTCTTATAAATCCACAGAAAATTACAATCAAGTAAGTCTTTGTAAATAAACCCTACCCTCTCCCATACGTGCCCTTTCCCCACACACCTCAGCTGCTGAGAACATAGCCCCATCTGGCCGGAGCGCACGGACTCTTCCACTTACCAGTGTAGTTTGCAGAGTAGTTGTTCGGATCTAAAAACTTCTTAACCAGCTCACAATTAGACAACACGTGGTTTGTGGTGATGACGCTGAGATAGTTCTGGAGACCTTTCTGCCTCTCAGCTATGAATTCACGATCCATGTTTCCAATCAATTTTTTGGGAGGAAGAGGTAGACTGAGGCCTGCAATCTTGCATATAAAAAGAAAAAAAGTATACTCACGTCATGTACAAGTCAGATTCACCATCAGGATCATCACAGTTCATTGAATCTAAGATAAAAGATCTTAAGATGCATGTCAATTTTGGTGATATTATAAAAATGTGAGAAAATCCATGCATTAGGGCACTATATGAAGGCTGGGGCTATAGCTCAGTGGCACAGTGCCTGCCTGGCAAGTGCAAGGTTGGGACTTCAATTCCTGGTACCCGCCCCCAAAAAGAGATGCTACAAAAAAATAGTGACTTCAGTTTTGTTGTTTTTGAGACCCGGTCTTGTAATGTAGTTCAGGCTGGCCTCCAACTCACAGTGATCCTCCTGCCTCAGCCTCCTGAGTGCTGGGATTGCACATGTGTGCTAGCACGCCTGGCTCACATGGTGACTTTAAAACTTTAAACTTCAAAAAGTGATTTTTCAACATTCACACAGGAGCATAACATCAAGAGCACATTAACAAAAAAAAAAAAAAAAAAAAAAATTTACTAGTAGTCCCACGAAACTCTGCCTCCCAGAACCACTAAGAAAGAAGACGCGCCCATTCTCCAGACAGCCGCATTCAGTTCTCTTTCCACTCCTTCAGCCGAGCTTCTGGCACTGAGGAACATTCAGGCTGTTCCCTCGAATCTTTCACGTCTAGGCATTATCTGTAGGCTTCCTCTTATGGAAGATGAAGATGAAGTTCTCTCTCACAGCTCTGGCCTTACCTCACACATATCCTGTCCACTCAACCCCCTTATGTTATAATTCAGTTAGAAGGAAAAAAAAAAAAAGAGGGGCTGGGGAGATGGCTCAGTGGAATAAGCGCTTCCCTGGCAAGTGCAAGGGCATGAGTTTAATCCCTGGTTCCGCAAAAAAATAAAAATAAATAATAATAATAATAATTCAGTTAGGGCATTATCTTGTCTATACTAGGTAAATGATATTACTGATAGCTATACTCAAAGTAACTGCTGAACCTTCTGGAAGTAAACTGAGCTCTCCAAAAGATAACATGTCACACAAAAGCAAGGAAAAACTGCAGACAGTAAAATTCAGAAAACATTTCTTTACTTCACATGAGTGCATTAAGTATGTCATGACAACAACATTTTAGGTACTAGATTCATATTAAACACAACCACGTGTTTGTTATCAAAAAAGATCACGTGGCTCCCTTGGACTCAATCCTGCCTTCCAGCAGGTGTCTGCCCAGCGAGTCCTCACCCACTGACTGGGCTTGCAGCTTAGTGTTTTGCTGTGGCTTTCTCCTCTGTTGTTCTAATTGTCTACAGCAAGTGTGTGTGTGTGTACAGTCAATTTACTATTATTCAGAGTGACTTGGGGAGGAAGGAAAAGTAAACACAGCTGTTCAATCCACTATCATTTTCCAGATGACTGAGTCATTTTTTAGTCTATATTTTAAACTTAAAGCACGGGATTGGCATTCTAATTTAGCAGGCAAAGTGACTTTCAAAGCGCAGTGCCATTCGGCCCCTGTGCTTACACCGGATCAGCCCCCGGGCACGCGTCCATCGAAGATGCGGCCCGCTGAACTCAGCAAGGACGCGACGTAAACCACACGGGTGCAAACAGGCTCGGCCGCTCCCGCCGCGCCCTGGGAACCTCGAGCCGCCCGGGACGCTGGGGCAGGCTGCACACAGCTGTGACTCGCCTGCCTCTCTAACCTGCTTGTCGGAGCACAATTACAGCGAATTTTCCTTCCTCGCGTAATGCACTGGTAGATAAGGCACTTAAACTTCAGGCTAGTTTTTCATTCATACAATCAGGTTTGACCTAACACACTTCTTTTATTAGCTAAGTCAAGTGCTATGAAAAAGTGTATTACTTAGCTATGACACGTACAAATCAGTGTCTGTACTTTAATTTTTCCCAGGTGCATAAAATATTAAATCGAGGGTAATACACAACCTAAGACATGCTTTTAAACCTAGTTTATGAAATTGCAGCGTGTGTGTGTGTGTGTGTGTGTGTGTGTGAGAGCGCGAGAGCGCATGCGTAGATACGCCCCCATGGGAGCGGAAAGCGTCTGAAAGACTCAACCCGTTGCCTAATAACTGTTACCCCTGGGAAAAAGCTGGTAGTACTTTCTATTTTTTACCGTAGAGTGTTTGCAGGGCTCATGCACTACGTTGTTTTTGTTTGCTTGCTTGTTTTTCAACCAGTTAACACCGTCACTTTGCTTTGCATTAGATGATCCTACAGTTTGGTCTGGCTCGGTCTCTGAGGCAGTCCCGGCACCCAGCCCCGGCTTGCGTCCTCCCAGGAGCACCGATGATGCGCACCGCAGCGCCTGGCAACGCGTCTCAGAGCGCAGGCCGAGCGCGGAGCTCTGGGTTGCAAGGGAGCATTTATTTTTGCACTGTGTACTAAGTTTTAGTCTTCTTTCAATTAAAAATGAAAGAAAATCCCCTTTATCAAATTGATTATATATACAATAAGAAAAAATTATTACTAACCTGTAATCAAGACATTCACTAGCTTCCTACTAACTGTAATCTAGGCACTCCTCACACAGGACCACCTGAGCCCACATCACCCACAAGGGAGTCACGTCTGATACCACTGGGTTCAAACCCCAACATCTTGGCTGTTTTTCATTCAAGGTGGGGATACTAGACGAATTTGATAAAATATTTGTCTTGAAATGTGAGGCCTCCAACCTTCATTCAATCTATTTTTTAATTTT